TATTTAGATTTCTGTCTACGCACATGCTTCGGTACAAAAAATTACTAATGTCAATCAGATATATTCTGTTATAAATGCGATGAAGACTCAACAAGGACAAGAAGGTATTTCGCAGAGTCTCAGCCACGTCTTCATACATTTCAAAAATATCCCCTTGACCTTTTCAAATGATAACAAACACAAACACTTCACTCACACCACCATCTCCTCTGCGCCGCACACGTCGATGCCACGTGGGCGCCGTTAGTCACGTGGCGTAATGGAGGCGTGTCCATTTCTATCGATTCTATCGCGTAACAATCCCTACTGCGGCATCTAGCGGAGGACTATATCAACTAGAAGTAGGGTGCATTTACCGCCACGGCGCCATTTTTTGGAGTTCATAGGTTGCCGTGCAGGTGGCGATACATGTGCTGAATGATGAATTTTTATACAGGGATGAATAAAGTCAAGGAAAAATTGAGTGGTTGCTTGGGTATTGCTGGAAATCTCGGCAAGAATTGAATTGATCATTTCAAAGACCGCTCATTTTCATTTTTTCTATCATGCTTTCTTCTTACTGAACTTGCTCCATATTAATAGGAGATGCGTACTTTGTAACTTAGTACAAACTTTCCCTTTGAAATAATACCGCGTGATAGACGTTCATTACATATAGATACAACAAACATAAGCCAGTAACTTAAGTGGTTTTTTCATGCACCGTTCGAATGCGAGTAGGTACTTGAACTGGTTATTTCAAAACCAGTACGATAATCCTTGATTTATTTTAGTTCCATATCAATCTGCTCCAGAAAGGGTCGCACTTAACTTGAAGCAGATTATTTTAAAACTTAGTCATAGTTACTGAGAAAGTCTGCGCAGTTTTACCAGAGCTATACATGTGAAAATAAGTATCAATTTTAAGAACACCCTGTAAGGGTTGGCTACATATCAACTAGGGTCCAATTATAGTATTGCTATACAAGGGGAATTTACTAGCCTATTTCGACACTATCTATAACAAATCGAATGAAATTATTATCCACTTTGATTTATTATCTCTCGAACCATAAATACGGGGTAGGTACCAAATTTTGTGGGTTCGAATTCTTGCCAGGCCCGATTTTTGTTCCATGCGCCTTGAGTATAAATGCGTTATATATTGATTATGTAGAATAAACGTTCATCAAGTGTTCTAAAATGAAGCTTAAACTTTTTAAAGTAAGGTTACCTCTCTGATGGTAGCCTAAACTTGTATATTTCTTATGCATGAAGTGCAGCATATTGCAGATCCTATAGATTAGAATTACCAAGAAGCTGCATTATGAAACATGAGATCTATCAAGATGGCTCAAGTGACGGTTGAAGTAATTGATAAATAAATATAGGTACCCAGTCTTAGAGTTAATAAAATATTCAGCTGAGGTTCTAATTGAATGAAATTTCATCAACTGTTAGACTTACCTAAATATGAGAAAAACATTTTTTTACATACTTAAACCACCTCGATAGCCTCAGGCCTAAACACCCGTGGTACCGTGAGGTTATAGGAGGATATATACGGCAAAGGAATGAGACGCCACACGGACTCTAGCGAGGGAACACGTGTACATGCAACATGCATAACTTCTGGCTCCGCCTTGAAGATCCGGCGGGTGGTACCTCCCCGTTCGACAATCAGATACCATCTACCACCTACGGACAATCACAACATCCACAGCCAAGAGAAAAAAATCTCTTGGGGCGGAATTCGAACCCGCGCAGCGCATGGTGGCTGATTAGTAGACCTATAACGTCTATCACTACGCTATCGCTGCTGCCTGGTCGGGATAACATTTTGAAGTGGAAAGGTTTACTTTATGACTGGATTTCCTTAGTAGTCTGTGGAGGCACCCTTCTGGCATGTACATTTATCCAGTCATTGGGGCATGCTTCTGAAAAGGCGTTTAGTTTCCGTTAGAGGCGATGTGACGGGTCCTTCTAGATCTACGCACCTTTCGCCCATTGAACTTGTGTGGAGTATGATGTAAAGAATAGTGACCTTTTTACCTTATAAATAATTTACAAAGACTAGCAGCTATTCGGGATCAGCGTAACTAACAATTATCACTCGTATTAGAGTTGCAAAAATGATTATACAGTATTCCTTACACAGCATTGTAAACTGTAAGAACATTGGCAAAACGCTCTAAGAACAGCTATACAAGCGGAATGGGCACACCTAATAGGACACTTCAGTCATTTAAGAGGTTATATAAGGGCTGCAGGTAAAATTTGCGTCAGTGCAAGATTCAGTTTTTGTCAACTATACAACTATTCTGTTACGTGATTCTACTTTATTGCAACCAAACTGTCTCTTATGTATTGCATAGACGAAGTGAAGAATATATAACTAACACATTACAGTCATCTTGTTTACTTACATATCGGCCATTGTGAATTTCATACAAAGGTATATGATAAACTTCTACACTGTGATATAGGGCTATTGAATTACTTGCGCAATTTCTACGGGCTTCTTATTTGATGCATATTTTGATAATGATCAAAAGTATGTCTAGATTTTTAAGATGGAATACTGAACTTATCTGCGTCAAAACTTCCACAAATCCTATATTTAGACACAATTACACTAATGTTTATCACTTTATATCTGTAATTTCGAACTGAAACATAATTATTTAATATTAAATAGAGGAATAAATGATTGCCCCATATGGCTGGTGGTTGTGTATAATCATGGCATCGTCCATGTTGTCTTCAGTTTATTAGAATATTTTGGTGTTGCCTGCAGGTGTTATACAACAATTTGACAAATGTCTGAAATGAAATACCGACAGAGTCCAATGATTTACCCAGAATTTGTGCCAGATCTATATCTTCTGTTTGAACAGTTGATTAAACCTTTTGAACCAATATGCATGCGTTGTTTGTCTTAAATCATTGGTTATAGCATTTAGGTTATGGTGAAGTTATATACCAACATATTTAGCATATGTACAGCCTTTAACAGTTACTAAACAAGGGTTGTATACGTGCTTCCGTTGGGAGCAACTTGTTATATTATTAATATGCACAGCAAAACAACAAGGCTCGGGTTTGTTTTATAAACGTTACCATGGATGCCACAACACAACCATTTTGACTAACGTGCAAATATGCCGTATAAAATAGTTGTATAAACGGTTATGCAACAGTTAAAAGTTTGTCCTATAAGGTGTTGTATAACTATGTTAAAAAATATTTTAAACACCTCATTTTAGAGCAAATATGTTGCAGAAAGCAAATTTGCATTCCCCACAACATTAAGCCAGCATTTTGGTGTTCAGGCAACAACAATAGAGAGCTTTTATGGCTGAATGGTTCTTTTACCTAAAGCTTATAGCACTACTTTGCTAGTTGGGAGGTACAGCTAGCGTGTCTGATGCATGCAAGCACCCGAGTGGGCTCTACACATTATTTTGGAATCCAGCAATAGTGAGGGTACGTAATGTTCACAGCATAAATGGTGCTGATTTGGCTATCCGCAAGAGTATTATGTAAAAAACCTATAAAATGTCAAAAAACCTATAAAATGTCTTCTTGCAGACTAGGTAGTTTTTAGGGTGCAAAGTCATTCCACGTTTGCTCATTAGGATCATTGTGAAAGTCCATATATGGAGGTATTACTCAACTAAACTACACGCATTGTTGGTTGCATACGTTTTGTGAAGCCGAGTGGACTGTAGCTATTATCTCTGAGAGGAAAGTTGGTTGAATAGCAAGATCGCATCTGGATGATTATATATATTGGTCTGCATGTATATAAAATCAGTGATATCTGCTGTTTTAAAAAATCTTTAATGAATATGCTGCCAAAGAAGTATATCTATTCGCTGGGCCCGACAAGTTATTTATATGTTGTCCTTTCAGCAGATAGGTTATGTTCAAAGTTATAAATTACGAAAAACTTTGAGGAGAATTACGGGAAATCATCACCGCACCAGCGTTGTGTGTAATTACTGTTAGCATGTATTTATACCATTTGTAATTCGACAGAGTACAGTGAATATAATTACTTCTTTTCTCTCTCGTTTTTGAAGTCCATTAAATTTGCATATGTAATTTCCAGAATTGATTTCAACTGATTTCTAACTTTGAATCTCAAGTAAGTGTATTTGAGACAAGAATCCAATGGATTTATCAGCAACACGTACAACTTACAGCTTAGACCTCCAGTAATGCTGTCTCTGAAGCAGATTTTACATCACATCAGAGGCATAGATTGATAACTGAAGCCTCATGACGTTTAGGCAACACGTAGGACTACAAAACGAGATCAGAAGGTGTCTATCAGCTAGTGCTAAGTTAACATCCTAAAAATCCTACGTAATGTCAAAAAATATCGGCATAATGTCACTTTTATACATAATACTCGTGCCGTTGTCCTGGCGTATACTACGCTAACGAATATGATGAAAATTCTTTTTGAGTATGAACCAAAAGTTATAATGCAGACACTGCTAGCTCCTCCTACTAACTCAATTACACAGTATCATATTTCTGTAATCAACATGAGATAATAAATTCTCCCTTTTCTTATTCTACAAAAACATTTGCATGCCATTGATGTGTAAATTTACAAGTCCGAGGCAAAGTTACAAGAATTAAAAAACTCATTAACTATTCCCCTCCTTGGGTACATCTTGGTTTTATAATTGGGACATTTGAAATCACACAAAAATCATGTAAATTATATTCATCATGCGGTAACAAATTTAAGTTTCAGAATCCTGAAAGAGACGCGACTATAACTAATGTACATAGGAACTTAAGGACGTCCAAAGTTCTTTACTGTTTCGGTTATGAGGGCGTTCTGTCCGGCAAATTAGTCAAATAGTAGTACTAGTGGTGGTTGGAAAGCGAAGCCCGGTAGCCCAATTTGGAGAAGGGTATTGGGACCCCTAGGGGGTTCTGTCAATCTTAGTAAAAAAGTGGTATAAGATATATAATCTCTGCACCCACTTGTCACTTGTGAAGTCTAATATTCCACTCAAAATTGGAATATGTGGCAACCTTGGTAACACCGCTAGCATCCAACAGCTGTCCAACAGCCAACTAACCTCACAATCTGAGCCTCTATTATGTATCTTTCTAGGCTATGTAAACTGAAAATTATTGATGTTTTAAACTTATATTTGTGTCTCGAAGTTGTTTAGCTAAGTTTTCAAAATGCCTTACAAGTGCTGCGTTCCTAATTGTGTCGGTAATTACGGGAAGGGTCCGAAGGTACACGTATTTTCGTTTCCAATGAATGAAAACTGTCGTAAAAGATGGCTCAAAGCAATCCCTAGTGATTTAGTGGATACAAAAAACACCCGAATATGCAATTTGCACTTTGCTGAGGACAGCATCATTTGGGAATCCACCTTCCATGACGAAAAGACAGGTAGGACCATTACTGTACCCCTTAAGTATCCAAAATTAAAGGCAGATGTAATTTCAAGTATCTTTGCAAATTGTCCAAAATACCTTTCAAAGGATATATCAAGCGGAAGAAGCCGAGATGAGACATCGAGGGACAATGAACAAGAACAACTACTTAAAGCACTGCAAAGTAGCATTGATGATTATTCCTCCCATCAAAAATCAACTTGTTTTCAAAATTATTCAGACTTCCTCACAGTTTTCAGTTCATGGCAATGTCCATATGGGTGGCATAAAATTGTTCAGGATAAAGTTACTTTGTTTAAGTTAGAATATAAACCAGCACCCATCATAACTCACTCTGTAATTGCTGATAAAGATCTCAATGTAAAAACGTATATGTACTCCCAAGAATTGTTACTCAACTCAGGTAATATTGAAACTGCATTTTGATTATCCAATATACACCCAATTGGATGATGTTCTGCATGTTCTTTCTGAGAATGTAGATGCTTCGAGGGAATATTCAGGTAACGACCAGTTCAGAGCCACTATCAACCATGCTTACAATATTTCACATAGCACAGAACTATTCACCGATGAAGAGACCCACACTATCATTCAATTAATTTGTGAGCAACTAAAGCTTTTTTTTATACTCCAACTACCACGAAGGCCTAAGGCCTAAACACCCATTGGGTACCGTGGGGCTATAGGGGGATACAGGGGAAAGGGGGAACGCCACACGGACTCTGGCAAGGGAACACGTGTGCATGCAACATGCACACATTCTGGCTCCGTCTACGAGATCCGCCGGGTGGTACCTCCACGTTCCACAGTCAGAGACCGTCTACCACCTACGGACAATCACAACATCCATAGCCAAGAGAAACATTTCTCCTTGGACGGGACTCGAACCCGCACAGCGCACAACGACTGATCAGCAGGCCGAAGAGTCTACTACTGCGGCCACCGCTGCTTGCTTTAGCCCGAAGAACAGACACAGTTACTCATCAGAAACAATAGTGTTTTGCTCTATGTTGTATACAATCAGTCCACATTCAGTACTTATTTTACCACACCAAAATACTCTGAAGTCAATATGTAATACATTGAAGGTCGATCCAGTTTCCGATGAGAGATATAACTTTTGAGGCTATGCAAAAAACCTTTTCAGATTTGTAAAACCTGGGAGGAGAACATGATTTTATTGATGGATGAAATACACATTCAGCCATATTTAGATTTCAAAGAGGGTGATATTGTTGGAACGTTAATTAATAATACATCAGCCTATGTGTTTATGATTTCAAGCTTCTACTCTAATTTCAAAGAAGATGTTCAAATCTTTCCTGTTTCTAAAATTGATCATATCTGTCCTGTTTCTAAAATTGATCACAATCTGTTATACAATATTACAAAGAAACTTATTATTGGATTAGAAGAACTTGGTTATAAAAATTTTTGTGTTGTAAGTGATAATAATGCACTGAATAGTAAAGCGATGGCACATTTTTCTCCAGACAACCTTCAATTGAATCTAATGTTGATTTCTCCTGTCATTAAATCAGCATTCAATATCTACCATGGTACTTTAAATCATACAGAAAAATGATCTGATGCTATATCTGGGTATATTCGCTTAATCTGTGTTGTTCTCCCCCCGTTCATCTGGCCTTCCCCTATAATTTCCAATTAGCTGGACCGATTTTCATTAAACACAACTAGCGACCATGACAAAACTGGAAATAAATAAATAATAGTTTATGTAAACTAAAAGAAAAAACGCTCTTATAGCTAACCAAACTAAAAACTTTTTAATTACAAAAACTTTATATTATGGTCGAACAATCAATCATAATTAATAATAATAATAAAATTATAATAAAATTTAAGTTATTAACAGAATAATTCCATTCAGAGTAAAAAGCGTGGGGTGCTTGATATATTGAATGTTACAGTCATTCTATCTATGAGGGAGAGTTATAAAAATGTAGTAAAATTCACCGCAGCTTCTTGCTCTGAATTGAGTTATTCGTTTAATATTTTAAATTTTATTATAATTTTATTCTGAGGTGATAACTTATGATTGATTGTTCGACAGTAATATAAACTCTTCAAAATTAAAACTTATTTTTTAGTTATTAGTACGGTTAGCTATAGAAGCATGTTTTTTAGTTTTTTAAACTATTATTTATTTTCAATTTTTTAGTTCGATTTATCAATTATTTTTTGTGGTCGAATTAATCAAATTTCTGGAAATTGTTGAAAATCGAATTCAAATTGGCTCATCCGTTACGGAGATACTACGACATAGTCACACCTATTATACACATCATGTTAAATTTAGAACACCTCCCGCTTCTGCACTGGGTCTGAATTACTTCATCACTTACCCTTCTGATGCCCTTGCCAGGAAGGACACTTTCTAAAACTGGAATCAATACAAGAAGGTTCATCTTCTAGTAGAAAGGAGCTCGTGTTTCACCTGAGACCACCTACCAGCATGGACGATATGCACTATCTGTTAGTCGATGAAAAATCGGAAATTACACGGGAGCCGAACGCCATGTAAAAATCTCGAGTGAATGTTGCAGACAATATCCGGAATACACAAGCGCCTCGTTCCGATCTCAATTTTCGATTCATAATTGTGTCCGTCAGTCGGAGCGGTGTTCCTGGTCACTGGCGTCCCTAGAAAACTTCCAGGAAAAATAAGCGTTTAATTACCTGCAGTTGAAAATGGCAGATAACGAGACGACAGTACAAGACTTAACTACCACCTATCTATCCTACCTTCTATACATTCTGTCCTCATACCTCTTATAGAGATTGCCCTGATTACGTTCGTTCGTAGTCATAACTAGACTGTGCTGACGATTGCTAAGCATGAAACGACACTGTACACGGTTGGTCGGACTAAAGCAGTATTTATTTAAGAAGGGCATAGTGCTAGATAGACAAATGATCGCATACTTATCTTAGTCCATGTTCAGTTCTTCAGGCTGTAAAGACAGAGATCGCTTTGTAAATTGTTTTTAATCAGCAGCCAAATGTGTGGTGAAATCAAACTGACCTTCAGAGATTTCTAGCAATTTTTAAAAATTTGTTTCTAAGTTCGCATCTGCCAAATTGTACTTCTTCACATTTCTTCCTATAAGCGTCCAATTCGTGAGCGATGCTTTTATTTTTGTATCTGTTCACGTGACTCTCAAATTTTTTACTAACATACCACTAAAATCTGAATTCAAAAGGGTACAAGTATCGATCAGAATCTTCTTCATGGTTGGCTTCTTGGAATAAATTGAATCGTAATCTGTCTGAACTGTCCGCAAACCTCACTGGCTCGTTTTTCACTCCTCATCCAAGGCAGGAGCCACGAGAGGTCGAAAGCGAGACACACCGTCGTCTCTTTGCCCCATAAGAGCGTTGCTTTAAGCTTTAGCTTAAGGCCCGTAGCGTCAGTCGTCCCTACAATTGTAGGGCGCCTTTATGGCCTCCTTGAAAGTCATTGTTTTATACTTCTCCGTGTCAGCGCTCTATTTTGAGGTTATGTCACAAACATCTATTTGCATCAAATTGTGCTTGCTTTTGAGTTATATCATGTTTTATCAGCCTGAAATTTCCTACAATTTAAAAAGAAAACAGATCTTCACAATAGGAGAGCGCTGACGGGACAAGTGTAATCAAGAAATTTTTGAAGGAGAGAAAGGAGTATGACAATCAAGGAGGCAATAAACGCGCCCTACAATTGTAGGGACGACTGACGATACAGGCCTAAATAAGTAAGGGAACACAAGTGACCGTTGGTCATGCGCTAAACATCATTGAAAGTTATCCCTAATTTTGTGACCGTCGCCCTGAGATACATTTTTCCGCACGCATATGCCGATGTCTCCCGCACTGGTCGGGATGTCGTCGACGTGCTGCAGATGACATGTCGACATTCACCCTCCCATCCCCCTTCCTCTCTCCTCTTTATCCCCATGGCGCCCTTACAGCGTGCGGGACGCAACTTTTAATGAATTTTATCGGCCGCTTTATTATGTAAAATCGGGGACATGTTGTCAGCTGGGATGGGAAATCGTTTTGCTGTTGAGTTTTTTGTGGACCTTCCCGCAGCTCACACTATTTAACATCCTTTGTTGATCGAATACGTTTCAAGGTTATGCTTGTAGGATATACACATATAAGTCAACGCCAAACAAAGTGGCGTGCACGTCATCACGATAAAAATTCCCCGACCTAATGCCTAGGTTTCTATCACAAACAATTGCTCTATTGCAGTTTCATATTAATGTGATAATGTAAATTGTAAAATGGTCATTACTCTCTTATTATGGTTAATAGTCATATAAACATTGTTATTAAAATATCACATAAGTTGCTTTCTGATAAATTTAGACGCATTATGCGAAATAAAATGTTTTGCAAACGCTCCAATCACTTATCGACATGTAAACGCACTAAACCGATTTCGCAGCGTTGACACATTGTCACCTTGAAACTTATTTAAACTGGGAACTGACATTTGTATTAATTTTGACACTGAATCAATTTGTGGCATTTCAAATCTTTATAAATCCTTTGGCCCCGCATACTGTAAATCAACAACTGTTTGTTTCAAAACAAAACTATTCATTTTACGAGTAGATAAAGGCAATTTTGGTATATAAAGATGCCCAAACAGTTAAATAATCGGTGTAAGGAACTCGTGGCCTCGTTAATGCACTACTTTGAGCAAGAAAGGGACAACAACGGGCCTTTGTTGCCTTTAAATGCTGTTCAAGAGGTAGGTTACTAATAATTATATGTAATGTATATTAATAATAGTGAAATTTTATTTCATTTTTTGTAGCGTGTTGCTGCTGCTTTAAAAATTAGTTTAAGGACAGTTAGTCGTATTTCCGAGGGTGTGAAAAGTGATGCAAATTTAGAATCGCCCAAGAAAAAGCGGAGTTATATTAAACGTGTAACCAACACAGCGACATTGGATACAAGTGCCATTCGAGAAGTGATCTATAATATGTATCACAAAAGTAAGATCTTATTATAATAACTTATCAGAAATTTGCATTAATTTGTGAACTAAATTATAATGTCATATTACACATGGTTTCAGAAGAACAAGTTACGATACAAACTTTATGGTCTCGATTAAGAGATAGGGCATTATTTGAT